AAAAAAAAAAAAAAAAAAAATTGCAGTACTGTATTTTTACTCTACCTTTTCCACGTTTAGATACACAAATACCATTTAGTTACAACTGCCTATGGTATTTCATACAGGAACATGCTATACAGGTTTGTAGCCTAGGAACAACAGGCTATATCACCTAGCCTTGGTGTGTAGCAGGCTATGCCATCCAGGTTTGGCAAGTACACTCTTATGATGCTCAGACTACCATTTCTGGAGTGCATCCCTGTGATTAAGCAACACATGACTGTATAACTCTGAAAAAGTCCACAACACAAGAAGTTTATAAAACCAATATGAAAAACATATAAAAGCAAAAAATATATACCTAAATTCATCCACCCCACTGCCACCAACTTCACTGTTTTTAAGTACTAAACCAAGCTTTCACATGGCTACTTCTGTAAAAGAACCAATTTCTTCCCAAGGATGCTAAGGTAAGAGCCAAACTTCCAAGTTTCCCATTCATCTTTGAATAAGATAATTAGGCATATCTATTTATTACATATGGTTGCTTAATTATCTATAAAGTGTCAAGTAAAAAGGTGAATCTGAATTCTTCCACAGAGAATAGCTAATACTTGGCAATATGATATCCTTGATACAGGAAGAATGTAGAAATATGCACTTTGTTTTTCAAATACCACTGGGTTTGAAGAAACACTGATAAATGGAAAAAGAAAAAGCATTGTTAAATCCCAGCAAAGCTACTTAATGTTTGTGTGACCTCGCCCTTACAGGCAAACTGGGCACTCATTCTTTGAATAAGATAATTAAGCATACCTATTTATTACATACAGTTGCTTAATTATCTATAAAGTATCAAGTAAAAAGGTGAATCTGAGTTCTTCCACAGAGACTAGCCAATACTTGGCAATATGATATCCTTGATACATGAAGGATGTGGAAATATGTTTTTCAAATATCACTGGGTTTAAAGAAACACTGATAAATAGAAAAAGAAAAAGCATTGTTAAATCCTAGCAAAACTACTTAATGTTTGTGTGACCTTGCCCTTACAGGGAAATTGGGCATTCACTTTTTTGGATAAAATAGTAAAAGTAGGTTCCCAAAGAATTAAGCTAAGGTATTTCCTCAAGAAATAGATAACAAACAATGTGCTACAGGAAATGCAGGAACACTTCTATCTGAATCCCACTTGACTCAAATAATATTTTCCAAGTATGTTTATTTGCGTGGTGACAAAACCAGACACTAAACGCACACACATGCACACATACCTGCTTTTTAAGAATTCCCTTGCAACTATTAGCAGAACGATTCTAAAATAAGCTAATGAACTAAGGCAAAATTATTTTCTATACTTCTCTATTGCTATTTAGCCTGCTCCTCCTTACTCTAGACAGAAGTCATGTGTTCTATAAACT